TGAGGAACTTAAGTCATCAATGTTTGGGTGCCGGGAACGCATGTCATTGACTTCCCATTGATTTACATTATAAAAAGAGTTTCAATGTACGCCGATTACATGTATGCCGGTTCGTCCAGAAACGCATCCCCGGTGTAAATCGAGGTTTACCTGTACTTTAAAAACAAAATGCTTGTGAAGTGTGTTTTTTGCAAATAAAATTGTTTGTCTACTTTCAGATTCAAATACGGAACTGTTAAATTAGAATTCTGGTGAACGACTCACAGGAGAATAAAAAAACATAAAAAATAAGCAAAAAAAACTTGTTTCCTTCGCTCTTTTAGTTTCACCAAGTCTGCACAAATAATTTGAGAATGCGGATGATAACAGTAATGATAACTGCTTTCACTCATTAACAAATGCTGCTGAACTGTGCATGCTTTACAAACAAGCAGTAATTATACAATATTTTCCAACCACTACAACCTACATATTTAAGTATTCATTTCCAACTGCTTGACAAATGAGTTCGACACAGAAATTGTGAAACATACAGTTGAATAATATAAGACTGCACAGTTTAAATGAGTATCCATGAAAATATAACACATGCATAAAGAAATTCTGGTATCATAACTTGAACTTTGCATATTTGACCTTCACATCAACACTAGTCTCCTACCCCACCTTACCAGCAAATATGCTTGTCCAAGCAAAGCATAATCTTCACCTTTGCTTTGCTATGGAATCTAGTATATTACATCTCAGAAAATCCACTAGCATTAATCATGTACTTCTTCAAATTATGTAGACACATAAATAAATGTAATTATAACAGTTTTCAGCCATATTGGCGGCTGAAGCGTGCACCAATCACATGTACTATACCATGGTAGATGGAGGGGTGAGATAGTGAGGAAACAACATAGAGTGGTGCCAGAAGTAGCATCGCGGAACATTGGATTCCAGTGAATGGTTACAACACTACATAAAGAACGTTAAGAATTGGCAACAAAGCAGTGCGGCTGCCGATGCTTCTACCAGAGGGTTTCTGAACAGACTGAGGTCTCCCTGCTTACCAACAGACCTTCTTTGCACTGATTGGTCACTCACAAAGAGCAGAACTCGACTCGACATATGGACAAACACAAGGAAAACACAAATAATGTAAATTATGATTCTACATCACTTACGATTTTTGACTTAGAAAATTTTAAGCATGTTTTTTGTTGCAGAGTGCATGACCATTATTAATGGACCCCAAGAATTTGTTACACAAAAACCTTACAATTTTAATCTGCTTGAGGTATCGACACATTCAACAAACTTACATCAGCTCGAAGCTCCCATGGGCAATGCGTAAGCCTGCCATCCTTGACCTGCTCTACAGGTTCAATGAGGGGCTCCCACAGCGCCAGCTGACTATTGTAATAGGCCATCTGTAGAGTCAAGCCGCTGGATACGTTCATCTACATAGAATAGAGAAGTTACCATGATAGAATATATTCTGGTGGACAGCTATGACTCCAAATATCCACGTCTTTTTACAAAGGAAAATAAATCAAAATTAGTTTAAAATAAAAGTTCTGGGAAAATCTTATGAGGCCTACTTCCCTTCAAGTACTTCAATCTGTATGGTGAAGAAAGCCATAGCCATAAATTAATACTTACACAACTGAGCGCACCAGTTCTGTGGATACTTTTTACTAGCATATATAACGTTAAATTTTCCACACATAACCTCACAGATTTTCACTATTGCCAAGCTAATATACGCTAACATAAACAAATGTTTCATACAAAATCTGAACGCATGTTCATGATTTAGCTCCATAAAATATATCACAAACCTCATTAATCCATTCACTACTCATTCATCGTTAAGAAACATAAATTTAATTGTAGATTTTTGTGTCGCTGCCATGCTGTCATACACAAAAAAAGTTAATGCATAAGAAATCTTACTTGAAATGCCAATATGGCAAATGGATATGGCTGAAAAACAAACGATTATGGGAAACAGGCAACTGATTTGCAGTATTTTATTTACTATTCAAATGGGCCTTTAATAAGAACAAAGGATCAAAACAGATTTACAAGAGATTATGTGAGATTTTTTTGATACTAAGTTGAATAAGGAAAACTTCAGTTTATTTATCCACAAGTACGAATGACCACAAGACACTAACCTGCGTGCTCCAGTCCAAAACCGAGCCTTGAAAGCCAATATCCACTAGGATCATGGGTAATGTCTGATTTCCCACACCTGCCTCCATAGTGATCACAATTGATGGTGCTGTTAGCATACATATCTCACCAGTTGGCGGCACTGGCTCTACCGCTACTCCTGTACCTAGCACAGCATCTTCACCCACCTCTGCAAATAAATTAGTATAAAATATTTTATAGAAATACTAGGATACTACACAATGATATGATATTGTTTATTGCTAGCCAGATCCATCCCATCAAACATCACTACAAAGACACGCTCAGATTAAACATTTTGCAGTAATGAAAACTGATTCTCAAGCACAGTAAGAATGGCAGTCGCATGCATCCTGTAGAATTTCCTCCACAATGAGAATCCTGATCTATTTTCTGATGTCACACCCCATTTTGAATGACAGATGAATATGTATTTCATCAATAATGGTGCTAATCCACAAAATCTACCCCGAGACTCTAAAGGTGGCAACTTCACAGTAGAACTGTCCACTCAGCAGCCAACACAACAAAATGAGGCAACTTGTTTACTTTGTTCAAAACATTACAATAACAGAATTGCATTGCAGTGATAACAAACATGGCTTCAATATGACACCACAAAATGGGAGTTGGTAATCAACAAGGGAAAGGTCTACATTTTGCAAACTTGAATGCACAAGATTTAACATAATTTTTTTTAATAATAAAAAAAATATCTTGGCATAAGCAAAACCTAAAAACAGGCTGCATAAACATATCTGACTTCATATGGAAATATAGATGAACAAATTCTAAATAATAAAGAGAAAATAATAACCTGTCAACCACTGTTAACCACTTATAATGTTACTATTGTTACTAATATTATGAAAATGATGAACAATCTTTTCTGTAGAGTATCGCAGTGTATGCCAATATCTTATGGTACTGATGGAGGGTAGTCTGAGTGAGTACTTATTTCTGGTATTTTTCTGTATGGTAATACTGCCACCAATGACCCAGCGGTCAAAACAATCAATTACTGTATGTTCAACTGATGATAAATGAAATGCATGTATCAATGAACAATCAAAGAATAATCTGCACTGAACAGTGAGTAGCAGTCAATAAATTCTCCTAGCTCGATCAATCACATACATAATTTCATGTACGCATAAAAGGATAAAATTGACAACAGGCAATTGGTAATGCAGTAAAGTCCACTTCAAATAATGGCTTCATTAACTGCCAATCATCAAATTCATTTAGCAAACAACAAATATGTAAACATCTGTCAGGGGAAAATTACATGACAGACTTTAGGTTAACAACAGAGCATGAATCACTGACCGTTACAGAACTTTACCTGTTTTCAGGAACCAATACTCAGTATCATTAAACTTCTTAGGTTTCCAGATATCTGAGTAATCCACTTCTATTGATCCTCCTTCAGCCTCTGCAGAAACAACCGCCAGCTGACCTTGCACATTGCTAAGAAGCCCGATGGTAGCTGTAAATAAATAAACATATGACTATCCAGCAACAAAATCAAATCAGTCGACAAAAACCTAAATGAAGATTTCTGTCTTCTGGGTTATTGCGCTGTGTAGTCTGGTCGATGTTAACCAACGTTTCAGAGGTCATACTGCCTCCGTCATCAGGGCGATGAGTATGAAGATTTCTGTCTTCTGGGTTGTTGCGCTGTGTAGTCTGGTCGACGTTAACCAACGTTTCAGAGGTCATACTGCCTCCGTCATCAG